CACATGGGGTCATCTTGAGTCAGAATCAACTCCATGGCAACTAACAACAACAATCAGCACATGTAAAAATGCTCAACATCATTAGTCATTAGGGAAATGCAAATCATGCCCACAATGAGATACCATACAAGCCTATTAGAATGTCTAAAGAGAAGGGCTGGCCACACCAAGTGTTGGTGAAGATGTGGAACACTCATACACCGCTGGTGGGAATGAAAAATTGTACCACCACATTGGAGAAGAGTTTGGCAGTTTCCTAAGTTAAAAATACGCCTTTCATGTAAGCTTACCTCTCCAATTCTAAGTATTTACCCAAGAGAAATGAAAGCATATGTCCATACAAAGATTTACACAGGAACGTTCATAGCAGCTAGAGATAACCCAAATGTCCATCAACAGGGAATGGATCAACAAATTGTGGTATTTCCAGCAAAGGTATATAACTCAATAGAAATAACTATTGATACATGCAGCAACGTGGATGGATCTCAAAATAATTATGCTGAGTGACAGAAGCCTTGCATACTGTATGATTTCACATATATAAGATTCTGGAAAAAACAAAGTAATCTATATTGACAGAATATAGATTAATGACTGCCTTGGGGGGCACTACTAAGGGGTGCAAGGAACCTTTTGGAGTGATGGACATATTCACTCTTTTGATTGTGGTGATGGTTTCATGGGTATGTATATCTCAAAACTTAGCAAATTGTACACTTTAAGGGTGTGTGGTCTACTGTATGTTAATTAGACAATAAACTATTAAAGCTATTAAACAATGAAAAGGGAAGAAACCCATAATCTGTAGAGCACCTAGGATTGGGCCTGGCGTTTAATAGTTGCTCATTGAATGTTGGCTCTTATTTTGAAAGTTGACCATCTGGAGGTCAAGAGCTGAGGTGGGGAGGTTACATGGCTTCAAGAAAGGGCCCTGGCAACCCCCCAGGGAGTGTCCACCCCATCCTTTCCCTCCTGGGAGGGAGCTGGTGGGACTGGAGACACCAGGCTAGACTGCCTATGTCCAATAGAGTCCTGCTGCCCTCTCGTGGCCGCCAAGGGCACAGCAGGCTGCGTTCCCCCTTCACTGCACTAGCCTATTGAGCCCTCCTGCACCCACCCCACCCTTGCCAGTTTCCTTCAGTCTTCTGTCAGTCTGTTCAGTCATCTGTTTATCCATTTGTCCATTCCTTCGATCGTCTGTCTGCCCATCCATCTGTTCATCTATCCAGTCGTGTCCACTGGCCCAGGTGCTGGTCTCCACCAGTACTTAGAGTCTCCAACGTGGAGGTGGGTTATCAGCATGGCACAGTCTCCCTCCCTGGATTGAGGCACTGCCACACCACATTCATGACAGAGCCCTCCTGGTGTCCTCAATCTTATAGCACAGACACCCGCCACCAGGAGGTCCAGGATGGGGGGTGGGAGTGAGGATGATGACCTCCAGCCACAATTTAGTCCTCCTTGCCCCCCGTAATACCCTCCTCAGCAGTGCCCTTGTGCACTGCTCCTCACCCTCCTGCCTCCCTTCTGACCCCATCTGCTCTCCTCCACAGGGTCCTGTCACTGCCCTGCCCCAAATCCTCATAAAAGTCAATGAGGGGCTCGCGGCCATACCCCTATGGACAGATGGACCTTGAGCCTCCAAAGACAGATCCACATGTGTCATTACAGTGCAGGGGGGGATGTGCCCCCTATGGGGACAAATCATGCAGCCCTCCCCTCCACCAGAAGTTAGCACCAGTTGGCGGCTGACCCGGAAGTGAGAGGGCGGTCCATCAGCTTTTAGAAAAAAAAAAAAAATACAAGCATGTCTTCATGCCTTGGCGCCAGCGAGGATTTCTCAAAGGACAGGAGACTTGATAACTGGATTACATTAAAATTAAGGACTGTTCATTGAAAGTCGCTGTTAGAGTGAAAAAGCAAGACAGAAAGGGAGGCGGTAATCACGGTACAAATATTCCACGGAGAACTCTCATCCAGGATGCATAACAAACTCCTACATATCATAAGGAAAAGGCAGGTGGCCCTGTAGAAAAATGGGCAAATGCACTGGACAGACACTTCACAAAGAAGAGACACCAGCGGCCAAAAGCCTCATTGCTGTCAAAGAATGCAGATTAAAGCTTCAGTACGACACGTGACAAAGACAGACCAAGTGTGGCTGCAACACAGAACGACAGTCCACGTGGTCGCAATGGGTGTGAATCTCACAGGTGCTACGGAAAACTGCCGGGCAGCATCCCCTAAAGCCAAACAAACACCTGCCCCTGACCCCACTCCTCTCCAGCAGGTGCCACATCTGTTGATAGAAGTACTCGAGAATGCCCAGAGCAGCAGCACTATTTATAATATTTGGAAACAACTCAAATATCCATCCACAGTGAACCAGGTAAATGCAGTGTAGATGTCCACACAGCGGGCTGCCCCATGGAGCCTCAACAGCGTGATGTACGGCGCAAGACTCAGACCCCAGGCACTCTGGGTTTGTGACCCTCGTGTAAAGTGCCCAGATGTGGGGCAGGCTGGGCAGAGTTAGGACCGTGCCCAGGCAGGTGTCCCACCTGGTGCAGGCCCACCTGTACGCTCGCTATCTGGAAACTCACTGCTGCTCTCCTGTGAGGGGTGCACTTTCTGCACAGGTGTGTGTGTAACTCTAATAAGAGCCAAGCCCGGGTGAGGCCCCCTCTGACGCCACCTCCCTCCATCCCCCTGCGCTCCCACAACTGTCCTGCCTCAATTCACTGCCTCTGTCTCTCCATCTCACTTGGATGCCCAGCACCGCCCCTTGGAGGCCTCCCTGCCTTCCAGAACATGTAGCTCTTGGAAATGATCTCAGTTCCTCATTTGTTCAGGTGGTTGCTGTCCAGCCCTCTACTTCATCTTGTTCCCAAGCTGGAGGAGGTCACAGGGTGCTCCAAGTGACCTTGAAGGTGTGCTGGGGGGCCAGGAATTGGGACCAGGCTCTGCGGCGGGAGGTGGTTGTGGAGGGGAGTAGGGCAGAGCTTTGGGACCTGGCTCTGCAGGACTGTGTGGCCATGGGCAAGTTGCTGACCCTCTCTGTGCTCACCACTCACGCTACGGAAACAGAGTTCTCCCAGAGCCACCGATTGGGGCACAGGCGCGAGCCTTCCTGCCCTGCCCGTCTCGGTGGCACAAGGCTAGCAGCACCAGACCCCCTCCCCAACGAGGCCACTTCGTGGAGGGATAGAGGTTCCTTCCTGCTGCTGTCTGGGCCCTGACTGAGGTCGCCGAGGTCAGGAGTGAGGCTGAGGTGGCGAACTGACTTTCCTCCTCCAGGTCTACTCCACCCTCTCCAGACCGAGGCCAGGGCCCAGACTCATTTTGGGGACTCTTGGGAGCCCTCAGTGACCCTAGCCTCCCCCAGCCCCACCCACAAGTTCAGCCACACTGCTGGGTGAGCCTCTTGAAGTCATACAGAGAAGGTACCAGCTCTGCCCCTAGGGTCAGCAGTGGCTCACCTCCAAAAGACCCTTAGGAACATTCTGGAACCTGGTCATTTGTAGCACTCTCTGTTCCCCCCAGGTCCTGGGCTGGGCTTAAGGGCCAGTAGCAGGGCGAGGATGCTGTAGGAGGAAGGGGCTGTAGGAGGAGGGAGGGGCTGTGGGAGGAGGGACGGGCTATGAGAGGAGGAAGGGGCCGGAAGAGGATGGGCAGAGAGGCCTCCAGCCGGAGCCGGAGGCTTTGGAGGCTAGGTTACCCGGTATCAGTTGCGGGCTGGCCTTCGTCCTCCCCCAGCCTGTGCCAGCACCAGGCCGGGCCAAAGGGGGAGGTGTCCCTCACATAGCTCCTCAAATGCCATCTATTTGTGTCCTGGACTCTGAGGACAGCAGGAGGCGCGTGTGACCGATAGTATGTAGTATTTTTGGCAGTGGGGGTAGGGCTTTCATAGCTGCACCATGTCGCCTGGGACAGGCTGACCTCAAGTCCCCTCCAAGCCCCTCCCAGATGTGGCGTCCCAGGAAGGACACGGTCAGTCCTCGAGCCTGTCCTATGGGGTCCCCCATGTGGGAAGCCTCCATAGGGACCTCCCCAGGGGCTGGCTAGGAGGGTGAAAGTGGGTCAGGAAGCCACAGCCCTGGTCTTGAACCATCCCTTCTCAGGACTGTCCCAGCCAGAGTGACCACCCAGCTGGGGTCTGGTGGTGGCAGCCCCTGGGAGTCAAGGGACTGGAGGCCTTGGGCTCAATGAGACAGGCAGAGGAAGGGCCAGGCAGCAGGTACGCCTGGGTAGGGGCACAGACCCTAGAGATGGACCTGGGGGACACGGGGGTCAGGACGTGCTCCTGCATCCTGTGACCCGGGCCTGGCGTGTGTAGGACCACAGCCAGGTGTCCCTGCTGAGCCCTGCACCGGATCTGGCAACCCCAGTGTGACCTTGGTGAGCTCAAAGGAAGCCCTGCGTGTGGCCATCCTGGCTCCGCCTGCCCGGCCAAAGCTGGCGAAGGTCACTGAGGGCTGGTCACTGGCCTGCCTCCCTGACCAGTTGCCTCCTGGGGCATGCTGGGACAGGCCAGGGCTAGCTAGCCCCCAGGGGCCATCGGGCAGACGGAGACTCCTTGGAGGATGAGGACGGAGGAGGACGAATCTCTGAGACCTGCAGAGACACGCAGGAACCATGGGATGAGGGTGCCTCAGTGTGAGGGGCCTTGCTGGTCTAAAGTCTTGTCTGAAGTGAGGAACGTCACCTGGTCTCTCTATACAATCACCGTGGGCTCCTCTTGGAAACAGGCAGAGCGGGAGTGGAAGATTTTCTAACTCGGAGGAAATAATCAAAAAGATTTGGAAGAAACACGCCGTTTGCACTGGAACATCCTGTTGTGCTTTCTTTCAGGGCAGGGATGGAACACAGGTCCCCGGGCCAGGGGCCTGGGGGCGGCCGCTGGAGCCCATGGGCAGGGGGCTGCCTACTGCCTCAGGCCAGGGTCTCTGACGCCCCCATTTCTGCTACCACCTCCTCTGGTGCCTGACTGACTCAACATGGAAAACTTTCAGTACAGCGTCCAGCTGAGCGACCAGGACTGGGCTGAGTTCTCGGCCACCGCCGATGAGTGCGGCCTCCTACAGGCCGACCTGGCATCTGGAGACGAGCCCTTGTCCAGTGACATTGATCAAGGAGACAGCAGTGGCAGCAGTCCCCCTGGGCCCCCACCCCTTCTCACTGGGCAGCAGGTTCTGGGGGGGAGGGGCCGGTGGGGCTATAAGGAAGAGGACGTGGACACCCAGCGGCTGGTCAGCAGGTGTACACCCGTCCTGGCCCTTGGTGGTGGTCAGCAGATGCCCGGCACGTCCACGCTGTCAGGAGTCCAGCAGCCCCTCGGCTCTGGTGCTGGCCCTCACTCTTCGTCCCTCCTGGGGCCGGTGATTTCAGGAGGTGAGATGCAGAGGCTTCTGCAGGGCCCAGCCCCCCGTGGTCCTGCTTCTGGGCCCCCTGGTGAGCCCCCTTGGAGCCCTGAGCCCCCCCAGAGACCCCCAAGCAGCCCTGGAGCCCCGCCACGGAGCCCCAGCAGGAAAAAGAGGCGCACTACAGGCACCAAGGCGGGTGAGCGCCCAGGAGCCCCAGCCCAGCCGGACTCCCCGCCGTCCCCCCAGGCCAGGCCCCCACTCCTTGCTGCAGAGCCGGCCGCAGGCTCCAGGCAGGGGCCGGACTCAGTGCAGGCTCCTGGGTCTGGCACTGGCACTGCAACTCCAGCTCCCTGCCGAGGGCCGGGTGTGGGGCTGCCCACACCTGCACTCACGACTGAGCCAGGGGCAGACAGGGGCAGAATAACCTCTAGAGCTGAGCTACACCCCATGTGCACCCCTGACTCTGAGCCACCCCACAACGAGGCTCTGACTACCTCTGACTCCCAGCCTCCACTTGATGGGGCTCTCTCTACGCCTGACTCCAAGCTACGCCCTGACGGGGTTCTGTCTACATCTGACTCTGAGCCATCCCGCAGTGGGGCTCCATCTACACCCAACTCCCAGCCTCCACCCCATGGGGCTCCATCTACACCTGACTCTGAGCCTCCACTCAATGGGGCTCTGTCTACGCCTGTCTCCCAGCCTCCATCGGATGGGACTCTGTCTACACCCATCTCCAAGCCTAGGCTGGGTATGGATCTGCCTACACTGGTCCCAGAGGTCAAGCCACATGTGGCCCTATCTACGCCTGTCTCAGTGGCTACCCCACATTCAGCTCTGCTTCGCCCCGCTCCCCAGGACAAGGCTGGTGTGGACGTGTGCACGCCTGCCCCCAGAGAGACCACGGCTGCCCCCTCCCGGCCCTCCATCCCTGAGACCCTGCCTGGTGTGGGGGAGCCTGGGCCTGTTGCTGGGCTGGATGTGAGCCTTGCTATGTCTCCACAGGGGCCCGAATCCTCAGCAGATACCCCTGGACACCTCTCAGGGGAGCCCCCCACAGGCCCCGCCCAGGTTCCTAAGAGGAAGAAAGTGCGATTCTCCATAGCTGCACCCAGCCCCAAGGAGCCGGGGCTGGGAGTGGCCCCAGGCCCACCCTCGCCAGCCAGGATGGAAGTGGGGGCTCGGGTGGCGCCAGGGGCCTGGGATGCCGTGGCAGTCAGACCCCGGCCCCCCCAGCCTCGGATCCTCAAGCACCTTCCTCCCCCTGCCCCCTCAGGCACAGGGGGCCCCAGGTCGGGGAGCTTTGCCCTGACCCTCCCCGAGGCCTACGAGTTTTTATTTTGTGACACCATCGAGGAGGAGGATGAAGATGCTGAGGAGAGGGCAGCTGGGCAGGCCCCGGAGGACGTGCAGTGGCCGGATGTCTGCGAGTTCTTCTTCCCGGACTGTGGGGCCCAGAGGCAGAGGCCACGTGGGGGCTGCACCCCAGCCCCCCGCTTGCCAGCCGAGCCTGCACCAGCCACTCCACTTGAAGACCCTGCGCCCGTCTCTATCCCCGAGGTGTACGAGCACTTCTTTGGGGAGGAGAGGAGGGGGTGCATGCTGGAGCTGGCTCCCCCACCTGAACCCAGTGTGGCCATCACAGAGGAGCTCAGCCCGGCGGGCAGGTGGCCAGGTACGTGCCAGGCGGCCCCACGACCAGGCCCGGGAACATGCTGTCCAGGGATCTCAGCCAGGAGGGCGGCCAGGGAGGGGCTGGCCAGGACCCAGAGGGGCAGCAGGACCCAGGTCCTGAGCTGGTGGGGAGGCTAGGACCGTGGCCTTCGGGGGGGGTACTCTTACTCAGGCCTGACTGCCCGCCCAGGCCAGGTGTGTTTACCCTCACACGCTTCATTTCCTGTCACCTCTGGAAGGCATTTATCAGGAAGGAAGCCTCAAAGAGGGACCTCCCCCAAGTCACCCTGACTCAGTTATACACACGCCACTCAGTGTCTTGTGAGGACACATCACAGGGAAGATGTTACTCAAGAGAGATGTGTCAGGGACAGACATGACTCATAATAGACATGTTGGGGACAGTCATGTCAGGGACAGATGTCAGGGACAGACGTGACTCAGGATAGATGTGTTTTGGGACAGATATGACTTAGGACAGATATGCTGAGGATAGACATGACTCTGGACAGGCATCTTAGGGACAAATGTGTCAGGGGTAGGCATGTTGGGGATGGCCATGTCCAGGGCAGGCGTGCCTCTGAGCAGAGCAGCTGGAGCTGACGTGTGTCTCTTCCTAGGGGAGCCCTGGAGTCCCCTCCCCGTGTTCACCTTCAGCCAGAGTGACATGTGCTTGGCGTTTGTGGCCTTTGCCACCTGGGCTGTGAGGACGTCAGACCTGCACACCCCGGACGCCTGGAAAACAGGTTTGGGGGCCCTTGGAGGAGGGAGGGGGCCAGTGCCCGGAAGGTAGAGGAGGCCTTATCTGGGGCACCGTGCCCAGCAGGGGGAGGGGGGCAGGTGGGACAAGCAGTCTCGGTTTCTCCCTGAACTTGTTTCTACCACTGCTGACTCACTCTGACTCTTTGAGGGCAGAGCCTTGTGGACAGAAAGGGGGTGTCCTTGTGGGCAGAAAGGGGGTGCCGAGGCTGCAGCCAGCGCTCAGGGGCTTGGCGCTTCTCTTGCAGTCTTGCTGGCCAACATTGGCACCATCTCCGCCATCCGGTACTTCCGCCGGCAGGTGAGGCGGGGGCACTCCAGCCCCAGTCTCAGTCCCAGCCCCAGCCCCAGCCCTAGCCGCAGCCCCAGCCCCAGCTCCTAGGAGTCAGGCCTTGCCCAGGAAGACAGCAGGACCAGGAACCGGCCACAGGTGCCAGGACGACGTTGCTACCCTTTGGACCTTGAGCTCGTCTCCCACATGGTTAGGGCATCCAGGCAGGAGCCTGTGTCCCAGTCCTGGGCTCCCCCCACTCCACTCCACCAGAGGGGCCAGCCAGTGACCAAGGCTGAGGCCCCCCCCCCACCTACCCGGGGTGGGGGTGTTCTGGAAGCCCGGGCACGGGCTGAGCAAAGAGCAGGGTAGTAGAGTGGCCAGCTGATACAGCAAATGAAATGCAGGGTGCCCAGTGGAATTGAATTTCAGGCAAGTAGTGGTGGGACGTACTTATACCAGAAAGTGACCTGTTGCTTAGCTGTATGCCACCTGGCAACCCCAAGTCAGGCGGTGGGCAGGACGGGGTGAGAGCAGCAGCAAGGACCCATTGGGAGGTCTGGTGAGGAGGGAAGGTGGGAGGCTGGGGCCAGAAGGCCAGGGGTGTCCTGGGATTTCCTGCCGTGCTCCCAGGTGGGGGGCTTGGCGAGGGCCTCTGAGGCCGCCCTGAGCCCCGAGGGCTATGGCCAACGCAGCATCCAACAGGCTGAGACAGGGAGCAGAGATGTGAAAGTGAAACAGACGGCAGGCAGCTCTTGCAGGGCAGGGGTTTGCAGGGTGGAGACTTGGCCCAACTTTGGGGGGCCTTGGGCAGAGGGTGCAGAGGGAGATACAGGCATCAGGTGGGGGCTAGGAACCTGGGATCATCCCAGGGCTCCCACGGGCAGCATGGTGATGGTTAAGGAGTTCGAGGAGGGGCAGATGGTGGAGGCCGGGCTCAGTGGGCACCCTGTGAGGTGGGGGCACAGGGCTCTGTGGGCTTGGTATCCAAAGGACAGCCGTCAAGAGGGGAACAGGTAGACACACAGAGAACCAATAAAATCTCTTTTTCTTTCTTTCTTGTTTAGTGGCTCCAGTCTCTCTCGACAGTTCTACCCCCACTCACGCAGGCCCAAGCAAAACTAGGACCCCCAACCTCCCTGCTGCTACACACTCACCCCTCTACTTGGGATATCTCAACCTCACTAACCTCTGACTCTCACATCCCCTCACATACGTCCTTTGATCTCACATACTCTGACCTTCACTGGCCTGACTTTCCCAGCCCTCTGACCTCACACCAGTGCTGCCCTCTGACCCCCAGGGGAAGCCCACATCAACTGACCTGCCCCTATTCCTTTCTGGGGGCAGGGCTGAGAGACCACCCTGATGACCCTCCCAATCTGTGGTCTGGCCATGCCAGCTAGGACAACCCCAGGGACCCGCCCGCCTCCCAGTCCCTCCATCTGCTGGAGGTGCCCAGGAACCAGAGCCCAGAGGTGGGGGCTCCAGGGTCCTGGTCCGGAATTTAGTGGATCAAAGGGGACAATGGATGGTCCACTGTGGGCTCCCCAGAGACAGCCCCAGGCCCCGAGGCAGACCCCTTCCAGGCCTGATGGCTGGTGTGTGTGGCCCTGAGAAGCAGCCGACCACAGTCCCGGCACTGTGACACTGTCAGATCCACTGGGTCAGGGCCTCCTTGGCCTCAGGTGCGCCTGACCGGGGCCACTTCTGGCGGGAGGGCGCTGCAGCCTCCTCCCAGACGCTGTTGTAGCTCGGGCCTGCACGCCTCTGGGGAGAGCAGCCGGCTGGGGCGGGTAGAGATGTGTTGGTGGGGAGGCTGAGAGAGCCTGAGCTCCCCCAGGCCCTGGGGAGGCAGGCCTCTCACTCACCTGGAGGAGGCCGCAGGGGGTCAGGTGAACCTTCCCTTGAAGTGGAGACCTGGGGACCCCAAACAGCCAGTCTGAGGCTGGAAGTCCAGCTTCCCAGCCCAGTCCCTGGCCAAGCCCCGGGGGAGGGAGCTTGGAGGGGCCTGGGGGCAGGCTTACCCTTCCAGTCTGCCAGAACTCCCTTGGCCTCTGGCCCTGCCTCTTCCCCTCCCCAGCCCCTAGTCCCCCTTCCCTATCTCTGTTGCCCTTTCTGCTCCTTGTCTCTGCCACCCTATCTCCACCCACACTGTCTCCCTCGCTCCCTTGGGCTGTGGAAGGTCCCCACTCCACCCCACTACCGCACCACCCCTCCCCTCCACACCATCCCTCCTCCTGCACCACCCCTCTCCCCTGCGACCCCCCCTCCCCTCGCATATCATCCTTCCCCCCAAAGACCATTCCTTCCTCCACCACCCCTTCCCCACATCACCCCTCAAGCCAGGCTGGGGCTGCTACTCACAAGCTGAGAGGAGTCTGGGGGCCTTGGCCCCCGGCCCTTAAAGGAGCCTCGGTGCCTCTGAGGGGCACGGCCCTGCAGGGCTTCCTTCTTGGGTAGCAGGTGAGGGCCAAGGGGGCCAGAAGGGCCAGGGCTGGGATCAGAGACGGGCACAGACACGGGGACAGTGGGGAAGGCACTCCATGGCTCTGGCCCGGGGGAGCTCTGCATGGCGCTGAGGAACTGCCAGGGTGAGGAAAGCCTGGGTGACCCAAGGCCCAGAGACCCCCTTGGCCTCCCATCATGGCCCTAGCAGACCATGGACCAGCCCTTTCCTGGCACCTGGACCTCAGGCCAGAAGCACACCCCAGACCCCAAGTGAGAGGTATACCCCAGACCCTAGACTATGGACAATATCTAGACCTTAGGCTTTGGGCGTACTCTAAACCTCAGGCTGCAGGCATCTCCTAGCCCTTTCTCGGCCAGCAAGGGACTGACCTCGTCCAGGTCCCGGACATCTGTGATCTTGTGGTGGGAGGTGGCAGGTGGGGTGTAGGGATCAGCATAGAGTGGGGAGTGCGGCGTCTCCAAAGGGTCATCTGGGTCCCCCTCCAGGCTCAGCCTGCTCAGCTGTGGTGAAGAGGAAGAGGAGAGGTTCTCTTGAGCTGGAAAGGGCCTGAGCCCTCCCTTCCCTGTAACAGGCCTCTGGGAGACCCTGAGAGGCAAAGGCCAGCGAGGTAGAGAGAGGAAGAGCTGGGGCTGGGGCCAGGGCCAGGGCCAGGGCCAGGGCCAGGGTCAGGGAACTAGGCCCACCTTGGTCAGGTCCAGATCTAGGTGCAGCGGGGCCACCAGGCCAGGTCCTGCTCCCTGGGCCTTGCTCTTGGGTGACCTGCTGCTGCCCCCTCGTCTCAGCGCTGACCTCCGGCGGCTGATGCTGGCAAAGCCTGAGTCAGCCTGGTCCTGTGGGGACCAAGGACCTTCCAGAAGGTTTCCACCATGCCCCTCCTCCACACAACCCTCTGAGGCTGCACAGAGCTCCCTCCAGTTGGGTCCCCTCCCCTGAGGAACCAGGGTCCAGGCTCCAGACAGAGTGCTGTGGAGACCCAGGCTCCCCACCACATAGTTGCTGTGGCCTCCTGCCCCCTGGGTACTCACAGGTGGAGGCTGGGTGGGGCAGCCTGCAGGCGGCAGCAGCATGGTCTCAGGGAAGGAGTGACTGGTGTGGGTGGAGGGGGATGCTGGGCACCCCGAGCCCCAGCTGGTCCGTCCATCTGAGGAGAGGGAACCGCGGCCGCCTCCTGCAACCTGGGCAAGCCAGGGAGTGAGCTGGGCGGCTGGCCCCTCTCCCACCTACCCATGTCTGGACCCACTCTTCTGTCCCATTTTTACCACTGCTGAGACCCAAGCCCCAGGGGATACTGGGCTACCTCTGGCCCGTCTCTCCTGCCAAACGCCTCACCTGTGTGGGCCCCTCACCTGTGTGAGCCCCTCACCTGCGTGGGTATTTGCGGCCCTGGCCCCGGCAGGGTGGGGCCCCCGTCCCTGAGGGCGGCAGTCCGGAGACAGAGCACCCAGTGGCTGTAGTCCTCGTAGCTGGCACATACCACACGGATGGTGTTGATAAGGCGGCCTGGACACAGACATGAGTGAGGTGAAGGGCCTCGCGGAGCCCACTGAAGGCCACGCCCCCCTCCTGACAGGCCACTGGGCAGGGGCAGGGGCAAGGGTCTGGGGTCAGTGATCAGCCCCACCTTCTATCAGGAAAGAGCGGATCTGCTTCCCCTTCTCCTCCAGGTTGATGTGGATAGCGCTGAGTGGGAGCTCTCCCTGCTGGGCGAGAGAGGTTGGCATCAGTCCCCTCCCCCTGCACAGCCCATCCCTTGGCCCCACCCTCCAGGGCAGACGTGAGGGTGTGAGCTGAGTGAGGGTGAGGGTGCTGGAAGGTTCTCTGAGGACACTGAGCAGGCTGTGGGCCTCCGCAGAGGGCAAAGCAGGGCCAGCAAGCGAAGCTGACCTCCTGAGGGAGACCAGTGACTCTGGGTCTGTCCTGGGGGCATCTTCGCCTGGCCTCTGAGGCCTTTGTTAGCTGAGGGCAGACGGACCTGTGTGGTGGTCCCCTCAGTCACCTTCACTACTCCCTTCATGAGATAAGCCCCACCCCACCTCTGCGTGTGTTTCTCAGTGACTGGAGGCCTCGGTCCCCCATGGAGAAAGGTCAGAATAAGTCCACACACAGACGCGTTCAGACCCCAGAGGGCGGGCAGGCTTGTACCCACAGGATAACACACAAACACACATGCACATGTATAGGATCGTGTGCACAACACAGGCACGCACACATGATATCACACACAGAATCACATGCACACATAATATGATTGCGTGTGCACGTATGCACGTATGCACATGGGTCACATAGGTGCACAGTAGGTTGCATACACACAGGCATGTACACATGCACACACAGACTCACACACGGATGAGGATCACATGCATGCACACAGGGGGTTGTGTGCACACAAACAGGCATACACACATGCACACATGAGATCACACACATGCTCACCTACACACAGGATCACACATACCTGCATATATACATATGGGATCCCATGTATGCACTTACGCACACACAGGATGACAAACACACACAAATTCACCCACATGGGGTTGCACATGGGATCACAGATGCACATATGATCACACGTACACAAACTGGATCGCACACAAACACAGGCACAGACATGGATCATACATGGAATGTCAAACACATGGACTCACACAGGCACACACACAGGGGATCACACCTGGGATCACACACACACACATGCACACCCTCAGACGCACACAGACTTGGCTGACTCCCAGAAGAGGGAGATGCCTGTTCTCTCATTGCCCTCAGGGAGGTGGGGGTGTTGGGAGCCGGGGCACCATCTGGTTGGTCACTGAGGATCCCCCCTCACGATGACATGGGTGCCCAGGGCAGGGGCTCCTCTGTGCCCATGGCTGAGTTGAGACCAGACTGACCAGGGCAGCGGGGCAGGGCGGGTGGAGCCAGCATTCTCTGTCCCAACAGGCCCCGAAATACAGGTTCCTCCTGAGTTGCTGCCCCCTCCCACCCCCATGCACAGGGAGCTTCTCTGGGCAGGTCGCCTGAGGGGAGGGGCCCACCTTGAAGCAAAGCCCATCTGGTTCCTCAGAGAAGATGGCCAGGGAGGTTGGGTAAAGGACCAGGAGCCGGTCACACAGCTCCTGCGAGTGGGGTGTAGGGGGGCAGAGGGCAGGGCTGGAGCATAGGGCACCGAGGGCCAGGCCACCTGCCACCCTGCCCCTCAGAGTCCTCACGTCCCTCCCCAAGCCCCCTCTCATCCCACCCTGCCCACCTGTGAGGGCAGATGCTGCAGCTTGACCCTCGAGGCACAGGTGGCGCTGCCCCCTGACTCGTGTCCCGACACCGTCCGCAGCTGCATCATCTGGCGCTGTAGAGGCCAGGGGAGCTCATCCCCGGAGGGGCCCTGCCAAAGGGAGGTTAGGACAGGCCAAGGAGGGTGACTGGGTGGGGTGGGAGTGGGGGTCAGGCACTGACCTGTGGGGGTGCTAAGTGGCAGCGCTGCAGCCCCCCGGCAAGGGCCGTCTGCTTCTCCAGGTGGTAGAGCCAGCGGGCACGCTCAGCGGCGCTGGGACAGAGCACAAGGAGGGGGGAAGGCAGCGGGCCTGCAGCAGGTGAGCGGGTGGTGGATGGCCGGAAGTGCTGGGCCTCAGAAAAGGAGGGGGCCCAGGTGGGGGGGTAGCCGCACCACAGTTCTGGGGATCCCCAAACCTGCTGCCCCTCCATCCAAGCCCAGCCCACCCACTTGCTTGCCCGAGTGCCTGGCAGAGGCCGAGGACCACCTAGGACCCCAGTCAATGGGCCCAGGGCCACTGTTCTTCTGTGGGGCCTGGCCATCGATCCTGATTGAACGCCAAGAGCACTGAATAGCCCCGTGGGGGTCAGTGTAGTCAGCTCCAGGTGGGGGGCACCACAGGCAGGGTGGAGAGCGCCCCCACCCCCCCGCTGGCTTCACATTCCCCCACCTGTGATCTGGAAGGCGTGCTCTCCGGACCCCTCCACCGGGCAGATGCTCAGCTCCGTCAGTGGTAACAGCCCCTGCCAGGGCATGGGGGTGCTGGTGAGGACGAAGAGTCTCCTGGGACCACGTGGGCTGGCCACCTGCCTCCCCAAGTGGCTGCTTTTTTGTATCCTCCCTTACCCCCAGGGTTTTGCTCTGAGGCACTTCCACAGTCCGTTCTTCCTTTACTTTTCTCCTCAGCCATCCACAGGGCAGCCTGCCCCCCTACCTGCCCTTTCCCTCACCTGGAATGTGAGGCCATTAGAGCCGTGGGCCTGGAAGTAGACGTGGGAGGGGAACAGCTCCAGGTAGCAGTCGCTGGTGTCCTGGGGGGAAAGCAGGTGATCTGAGGGTCCAGGAGGCAGCGGGAGGCTGGTCCCGAGGGTGCCCCACCTGGCCGGGCCCCCACCTGGCTGTGCTGGAATCGCAGCTGGACCTTGGCATAGTGCAACACCTTGCCTACGTTCCTCACAGGCACCTTCCACCGTCCCTTCTTGAATACACTCAGGAACGGCTGCTCCAGGGCTTCTTGCTGGCCCTCCAGGCTTGGGATGTCCTGGGG